GATGCTTTGCATCATCACCCATCACAGGGGCTGTGCTTGTACAAGCCAAAATGAGGTTGGTCTGTTTTAGAGTTGAACATTTATGTCAAGAGGTCCAACTGCATTCTGCGGATCCGTTTAGGGGAGGGTTCTGGGCTGGCTGGACCGATTCTCTACATTTCACAAGATCCCTTTTTTGTGGCAGCCGGAAATCAGCGTGGAAGAGAGCACACAAGGCATTATGACTGTGTTGTCCAACCTTTGTGAAGAGGACAACGGGACCTTTCTGGATTATTTGGGTCAGCGACTTCCCTGGTGATCCATCAGTCCCACCTTAACATCATGGACATGTAATAAAGTGAGGAGAAATAAATAAATAAATAAATAATTGAATGGCATGAAAATCTTGGTTTTGTGTTCTCTTTTTTTCAGAAGAAAGCAAATAATAAGAGTTCTACTTTGCAAGTACCCATGTGAAGTTACTCTGAACTATATTTGCTGAACTACAGTTTTGAATGTAGACTTGCAAGGCGTGCTCATGTGTGGTTAATTTAATTTAACTCATCCAAATTTAGGAATTTTCATAATGTTTTGCATCATCATGCATCATAGGCACTGTGCTCATATATCTCTATAAGCCAAAATGAGATGGGCTCATTTAATACAAATCCATCTCAGTTAGTGTTGAACATTTATGGACAAGAAGTCCGTCTGCTGACCATAAATCCTTACCAGGGTAAGGATTCTGGGCTGGGCCAAATTGATTCTCTAAACTTTATGAGATCTTTTTGAGGGGCAGTTGGAAATGAGCATGGAAAAGACCACACAAGACATTGTGACAATGTTGTCCAAGCTTTGAGAAGAGGACAAAGAGGACCTTGGTGGATTGGTTGGGCTGCCCAAATCCCTGGTGGTCCATCAGTTTCACCCAGATGTTTCAGCTCGTAACAGAGCAACAGGCGATGGAGCCTTTTTCCATTTACAGCAAAAAAAATCCCACCAACTTTCCAGAGTTTTCTCTTTCAACAAAGGTACTTATAGTTTTGTCCCTGTCCAAATAGGTCAGTGGTGCCCTTTCTGCCATTTTCTCAATCTGTTCTGGATAGTCCAGAATTTCTCCTTCGTTGTCCGTATCATCATGTTGGCTGCCCAGGGAAAGATCAAATAAGGGAGACCAGCTGCTGCCTGACAGGCAGTGAAAAGAAACCAAGGAAGGGACATTCCCAACTTCTCCCACTGTGCAAGATATTGTGGCAGATCTGCACATTGACTGTGTGGGAACCAGATCTCACAAGGAACAGGGTTGAAGGCAAGCCAGCTCCTTGGTGGCACTTTCCCATGATAAGTGTGACTCTGTCACAACTTCTGGATACAAACTGACCACGAAGAATGACATTTAAGGCAAGGCACGCCTTTCCACTCTTTTTCCAGGGATGAATTCAGAAACAGGAGTGTCCTAGGAAATATATTACAGCCCTGGGTGCAAGTAAGTCATAAATATATTCTGAAGAGCAGCAGCTTGTTTTCCTGATTGTTCCTTCAGTTATAGGCAAGCAATGCTGGTTTTTGAAATAATTAAAATAGTTGTGGACAGAGTCGCTGGGAGTTGGCAGCCAACGAGTTTAATACTAAATACATTTCCTCAAAAGATCTAAAGGTGGGTGTTGTCCATTCATTATAATGTTATATCTCCCACTGTGAGAAGAAGCGTTTGAAACATACCACTGCGCAAGTTGCAAGCAGAAGCTGCAGCTCCTGGAGAGATGGCAAAATCAATGGATTTCTGTGTTTTCAGTGTTCTGGTGACGGGATCTGATCGCGGGATTGGTCTGGGTCTGGTGAAGAGATTTCTGGAGCTGCCCTATCCACCCAAGTGGGTCTTTGCTACAACTCTTGACCTGGAAGGAAAAGAAACCAAGGTAAGAATTAGTTAGTACAGGATGGGTTGGAAATAGTGATTCGGAATTTGAACTGAGGCTGAATGTCAACCTTGCATTTTGAATATCCCAGGAATATTCTGACCCAACTACATTTACACACCAATTATATTCTTTCCTTTCGCAGCAGGCAGATGGAATTCCTTCTGTTTAAACAGTAAAGAGTTCCCCTTTTCTTTTTTCCTTTTCCTTAAATTCTATTGAATTTAAATTCTATAGAATTTCCTTAAATTCTATTAATTCTATCTTGGTTATTATGTATTAATTTTTCTCACTGCATAATCCCCGTTGTTTCTTCTTCTCCATAGCATAATTTGTTTCTTATATTCAACCAAAAATATTTTTTTAAAAAACATTGCCATTCAAAGCAGAGGAATAGAGTTAAGTAGAGGAAAATATCAAGCAAAATAAATTAAGGGATAATACAAAACGTAAGTGAGTCAGTGAAAAGAACATGTAATTAAATCTACTTCACACCAACAAAATCTATTAATTTTTTTGATCGTATCCCAAGGGCAAGCTCTGTCATAAATACTCTGTTTCATGCATTATATTCCTGGAAAACAAAATGTGAGTTGATCAAGTTGTTTGTCCACCAATGGGCTATTTTGCTCCTAGTTGTCCAGATAAACATTTAATAGATAAGCTATTCTACACAATAAGACTCAGAATTCAAGGGTGAATTCAGGACTGAGCCATTAATTTTATAGTGGGGGGGTCCCCTTAAAAAGCTTTGAATCTACAGTAGAGTGTAGAGGGTTTTGAGGGGAGCAATATATGGTTGGGTTGGGTTAAGTTGAATGGATTAAGATCCTAAATTGCATTAAACTTTAATTTAGTTTCTTAAATTTTGTTTGGTTCAGAAAGACTTGTTGAAAGACATCTAATGAAGGAGAAATCACATATCATTCCTGCTTTTGAGATTGTTTTCCGTGGCATCCAGCTCATATCATTCTCTGTGAATTTTAACTCACAGAACAATCTAAGATCTTTTTTCTCTCTCCAGGAACTAAGAGAGTTGGCTTGCCAACATCCGAATCTGGTGGTATTGCAATTAGGTAAGTTTCAAGAGCCATGTGAAAATGGGACAAGTTTGGTATTAGAGGAATGTCCAGAGCAAGAAAATTCAAAGTTATTCTCGGAACTAACCAAAGCTGTAAACATCGTTGGTTGGGTTCATGAAAGTCAGCTTCCCAGAGGGAAGAGAATTTAACTTACATGCCTCCACATGTTAGAATAGCATGTGAGGATGTTCTGAAAACTAGGTCTCATGGTAAATATCTGCAATTACAGGCTGTTCCATTTGAAGAAAGACTCTGTGACTTTGGGGTTGAAAGACTTCACATATATACTGTTGATATGATGCGATGGTTAAACAATAAGCTCGGTGGTGGTGATGGTTGTGGCTTGGTTCACAGTGGTTACTTTGAGTTGGGGTAGATTGTTGTGTGACACCCCCCCCCCCTCCAGTTAAATAAAGATAAACTGCTTCCCCTTCCAAGCGGTGGGCAGTCAGATAAGGGTCCATGAATGGGCATCTGACAGAAAGTAACATCTGCACCTCTGTTTTGAGAAGGGAAGAGACTGTACACAGCAGTGCTTGTCAAAATTAGCAGCTTTAAGAAATGTGGACTTCCGACCCTCAGAACTGAACGCCAAACTGTCCCGAGAATCTGTAAACTTATGGAATATTTTTGCAGCCCTGACATATTATGTATTAGGCAAACTTTATATTAACTCACAGGGTCCAGGAAGACCTCATGTGCATCTTTATATTTTTATTGTTTTATTCAATTTCTATAGTCGCCCATCTCAATGTAATTGATTTCAATTGTCGGTCTGGGTTTGAGTGTTGGAGAAACAGAATCAGTTGTGAGTTTGTGCTTTTGGTTATAAAGCCACGATTTGGATATAGTGTGTAAAGACCATCTGAGTTTAGCGCTCTGCGGGAGTCAGTTCAGAGCAGAGAAACTAGGTCGACTTGTGTGATCATAAAAGTTCTTTCTTTGAAGTTTGAAGGTGGTTAGAGGTGTGAAGAGACACTAAGACACACTGTGGTTTCAGGAAGCTTTTGCCTTGCAGTTACAGAACTTCATGTTGCTGATGTTTCCATAACCTTGTTTATTCCTTAGATGTTACTAAACTTGAAAGCATCCAGGCCGCTCAGCAAGAAGTGCAGAAATGTGTTGGAGAAGGTGGCCTGACCATCCTATACAACAATGCCGGCATTGGGACTTTCACTGACCTGCAAACAGAAAATGCCAAGAATATGATGAACGTTTATTCTGTCAATACCATTGGTCCATTACAAATGAGCCAGGTTCGTTTAGGAACAAAACACCTTTCAATCAAAGGAAGACTTTTAATAAAAGAGAAAAAAAAGATGGAACCATTGAATTCAGTATAATTAGGGGGCTTGGTACCACTGTGGTGCTCAAACCCTAGAAATTGTATATTGATTTGCAAATGAGGGATGTGGTTTTTTTCAGGGAGTGTTGGAATATAGTAGTTTTCCTGGGTGTGTTCAGATTATGATGAGTCTCTGAAGGTCCCCTTGGAAAAGAGACAGAAGACCTTTCCCGGTCATTGTACAGCTCCTTTCCTTAGAAATGACTGCAGCTCCTTCTCTTTCCTTCTCTCTACAAGGCCTTCCTACCCCTGCTGAAGAAGGCAGCCCGGAGAAGCCCATGTCAAGGGCTGAGCAGCTCCAAGGCAGCCATTATTAATATGAGCAGCATTGGGGGTTCGATTGAACTTATGGCTCTTTGGGACCAATATCAAGTACTTGGATACCGCTGCTCTAAGGTATCTTGTGAGTTCTTTTATGTGGACCTGCCTGCAGGTATTGGGACCTCCTTTTTCATCCATGGGGGCACATGTCCATGCTTCTGTGTCCCTGCTAAATATGCATATTAATCCATTGCTGAGATGCAACCCTGTGTGGTGTCCCACTTCTGGGTCAGCAATGATGCTTTATTGCTGTCATCTGTGCTCTTCTACAAGCAGTTTCCCCAGTTTTGATGCAGAAGTCTTGTATGAAAGCGCTCCCTTCCACTTTTGAGCTCTTCCTCACAAGAACCTGGTTCAAATTCAGTAGGAAAGGATTCTTTGAAAAAGAAAACTCATTTAGTTTTGGAGCATGGGTTACCTCTAATGTAAGGACTGAGATAAAGAAAAGAAAAAAAGTAAGTTGAGCAGGTTGTTTTTGTACAACCAAAATGTTACCACTTTCATTTATTGTATAAAAGTCAACTGCTCCTCAGGACCAATATAAAAAATATATCAGTGGGAATGTTTGTCTTGGGATGGTGCAAATAATTATTTGCAAAAAGCAGCTCCATTGGTACCTTGGTACTCAACTTCTTTGAAACTCATCAAATTGGTGCTCAATGTATTTTGACATGAAAATTTTGTCCTGGTACTTATCGTTTGTTTGGTACTAAAATGCACAAGCTAGAATATATCGGTGCCAGTTGCTTTGTGACTCATTACATTAATCCTTATGGAAAAAAATTGTTTGCTACTCATCATGATTAACCGAGGTACCACTCTATTTAATGGGAAATTGTTTTGACAGGCCAAAGAGGTTATTAAGCCTGACATATATTTTGCTTGCATGAGATGAAGAATAATTAAACATTTTCTCTCTTGTGTGACCTCAAGGAATTTTTCAGTTGATTGCTGATGCGCCTCATGGACCTTTCCAGGCCTGTGTAACATTTTTATCTCCACTTTATCCTTCCCTTTTTTCCTTCAATGCATTTTCCCCTCATAGTCTTTTTTTCCTTATTCTTATAGGCTGCTCTAAACATGCTCACCAAGTGTCAGTCTCTTGGATATTCAGCCGATGGTATCATGACTGTGGCCATCCACCCTGGAT